GCTTAACAACATGTGGAAGAACACTCTGTAGTGTCGGTTGCGCTTCAGACCCCTTCCCTGAGCAGATGAATGTGATGATAGCAAGCACACTGAAAGAGTATTCAAAGAGACTCAGTCAAAGCTTGGTGAAGGTGTGTCTTCTGAGGATATAGATGAAGTATCTACTACTGTCGTCATACCTTTATCAATATAATATTAATTTTGCATTTGAGACCTAAACATCAAGCTATACCTTCTTTTTGACTCTATGTGTGATGTTTGTATTTAAAGACGTATGATGTGATCTGAAAACCTCCCACGAAATCCGACCCATCATGTCTGACGTTTAAATTGTTATTTCAGGCTTTACAGGGTGACTCGCAGCAGCGCACGGACACCGTGCATGTTTTTTTCCCTCCTGACCGAGTATTGCTACTTCTTTTAAATTTAACAAAAAAACATTTAAAAGCTCATTTTAAAGCTTAGTAGTTTTAAAAAATACTGGTTTATACTGTATCTGATCTAAAGTTTTTCATTATCGGTATTGAAATCTCTACTCCAGTCTATACTAGTCTGCAAGTCCACGCACAATGATAAAATCCATAGTTAGAAATATTGTCACCCAACTGAAAATCTATGTTAAGTTCTTGTGTGCTGCCACAGAACGCTCATGAGAATCTGGCAGTACTGTTCATTTATAAATTCTGTAGGACTTTACCCTTTAAACTGCAGGATTATTATTTAGTTACTATTCTTAGAGTTTTTCATTTTGGTATTAATAATGGAGTCAAGAAAAAAAATAAAATTTCGGAGGAGGTCCACACCTTAAGCTCCTCCTCCTTCCCATGAGAGTGCAAAAGTGAAGAGTGAGAAAGTAAAACATGGCCATTGAAGTTTAGAGGGTTGATCAACATAGAGAGAAAAGTAAACTCAAATGTGCCTTCGCAACACAAGACCATATAACTGCAGTTCATCTAAGCTTCTGCTGTATTTTGTTAGAACCTTCTTATGTCTAAACATTCCTAATATTTAGAGCAATCTCCCATTTTTGTTGAGATTATAATACCATAAATAAAAAAAACAACAAAACAATAAAAACATCCAAGAATGTGTGAATTTTCCATGGTGCTTCATCGTGATGAAACTCATGGTGATGCTGTGCTTCTTCAGAACTAAAACACTCCTCTCATCAGTAACTTTAAACACAGCTGGGTGACAGACGATAAACAAACACAAACAGATTTGCACAAACACAAACTCTCGAGAAACAGCACGTGTATAAGGTGTCATCATTAAAATGACAAGAGTCTGTGCAGCAGCTGCCCTGGTTTTAGAGACTGCAATCAATCAGTTGTCAAACTCAAACACACACACACACACACCACACACACTCACACACACACACTCACACTCATATCACCCTGTATCTCCTTTTTGTCGTTTTCATTTTTTGACAAATAACAAAATAATATTTGACAAATAAATTTGAATATGCCAGCTGTTCTTTATACTGTATTACAATTTCATGATACATGGACTAATACAAATGATAAAACAAATTACTTGCAATAAAATCTCATTAAATTAACTTTAATGTGCTAAAAAGAAGTAAAATATGTCTTTACGTCTCCTGAAAAGTTTCCAGGACATATTGTATTTGCACATACAAGATTTTGCTTTGACAGCAACAATACATAATATACATGAAAGAGCCTTAACCCTAACTCTAACCTTCTACTCTTTAAGGTTTAAACAAGCAAACATGTAGCTTTTGTAAAAAAAAAGCTACGAAGTCCAGTTACAAACCCCCCCCCCAACACTTTTATCTCTGTTTTTATTTTTGTTCTAAAAAAAAACATGAAAACAAACAGCTCTGTGTAATTATGCTTATCTCTGAGGTGCTACACCCATGTCTATGATTAAAAGATGTTCTGGATGTATGCTCTGTCTCTCCATCTATGCCAGCACTGCCTCTACTCCTCCCCCACTCACCGTTCTGTGTTTACTGTCACTACTAGATTACAGGAATGTCCCTCTGCAGCTATGAAGGACACAACCAGGACGGCCAGACAACCTTCTCCAGACGAAAATGGTGCCTGATCACGGTCCGTTTCCTGATCTAATCAATTAAACGTCTGTCATTGGAGTCCTTGGGCCAATGCAGTGTAGAGGACTTTACAATAGCTGGTTTTACATGTAGCCTAATAATCCTTTAGCAATCTGACTAATATGTTGATCAGAATAAAAAAAATCATATAAACATCTAAATCAAAATAGAGTGATCTAACTGAATGAAAGTCCCAAGCAGTGTTTACTTTTTAATACCCTAAATGGAACAGTAATTACCATGAAAGTATGTGAATCTGATCAAATTCACATTCAGAATATTTGCGTATGTTCTAGTAGGCATGTGCACTGGCATCATGACAAACAAGCTTCATGTTGTTATGGTATCAACTGACACTAAATGTCTCTTCATGCATATACATAAAGCTGAAAGTTGACTAATGAAAATTTGTGCATCTAAATGAAGGCACTGAGGCTAACTGTGCTACAGTTGTGTGCAAAAATTTGGGCACCACAGGTCATATGACATATTTTGTTGATTTTCTAAGTGACAATAAGATAACACACCCTCTACAGAGAACACACTGAAATATGACATTTTTCTACAAATTTTAGTGCAGAATATCTATTTATTTGCTGAATTCCACAGTTTAGAAAAAGAATAAACTTTTGCCCAGGCCAAATTTTCTTTTATTTATATTGTTTTTCCACTATGTTAAATTCAGCACATAAACAGTAATTGTGTATTAAACTGTGCAGAAGTGTGTTCTCTGTAGAGGATGTGTTCACTTATTTTCACTTAGAAAATCAACAAAACCTGTCATTTGACCACAAGTGCTTAAACCTTTAGATATCACTGTATATTTATATTCTGAGTGGAGACCAGTGGAGATTATTGCAATTTAACCGGTCAGTCCTTTATCATGTGGGCGAGATCTGACTGGGCAAAAGCCCAGGGGCGCCTGCTAATGATCAGCCTGGATCAATAGTGCAGCACATTTGTTTTGGAGTTAAAGGGGTTTTAGCTTGTTGAAAATCATTGATGCAGTTGTCCTTAGAGAGAGGTAAGAGGACATCAAACAGGTTGATGCTGATTTTGATCTGTGTTTCCTACTTTTGCCCGGCCAGATGAAGATCAGGCTCTCAGAAGTGACCAAAACGCAGGCTCCTTCACCAAGAGCACAAACTTCAACTGTCCTCTAATGGCCCCGACTAGCACACAATTTACTCTACATCAGTACCAGCAGATAATTGTGTAGAGCAAATGTGTCTGCATTAGGGGGTGGGCAATCTGACAATATTTTATCATATTGTGATAAATTATGCCACAATATGCTTCACAATATGCTTTTTCTGAGCATATCATAGATACTGGCTGTATTAAAAAAACACTGACACTAGTCTTTTGTTACAAATAGAGCATATTAAACTTGTTTAATTAAATTTAGTGCAGTGCAGTTTGTGAAATGTTAAGTCACTGTACTCATAGGTTTTGACTGTATTGTTTAAATGTGGCACTACTGGTTCTTTTATTGTCTGTCCCAACTGATTAAACCCCTGAAGGACAAGATATTGTGACATATCATGCATTGTGAAATAATCTTTAAGTACTGCGATTGCATTTTTGCCATATTGCCCACCCCTAATCACCACTGGCATTTCGATTAGATTTGACCATTTGATAATTTGGTCTCACTTTATTTGGATAGTCCACTATAGTCCCCTATAGAACATCTACAGATGTTCAAATTGTTAACAACCTATCTGATGAAACTCAGGATTTGGACCAGGGTTAGGGCTAGGACCAGTGTGAAGGTTGGGTTTAGGTTTTGGGTTGAGGTTGAGGTTAGGGTTAGGATTAGAGTCAGGTTTAAAGAAAATTATGGTCAATTTTATATATATTTAGTTGAATGTAATGTGAAAGTAAATCAAGCATCTACAAAGCATCCAAAATGGACTATCCAAATAAAGTCTTACCAATAATTCTAAACTATATTTAATGGCACGTTCCTCTTGTATTCCAAAAGAGTACAAAAAGCATTCTAAAAGCAGTACCAAGAAAAGGTTCTTTGGCTTGTAACAGTGGAACCCTTTTCAAAAAGGTTCTATATAGAACCATCTACAACACTTTCTCCCTCAATCTGAAGAACGCTTCACAATGCAAAGAAGTCTTAAATCACACAAAGGCTTCTTTGAGTGTTCATGGTTCTATATAAAAGTTTCTTTTAGGCGTGTAGAACATTTGGGCGAAGGTAAGCAAATGTGCTAAATGTCCTTATTTGATTCAGTTTACTGCTTTTAGCCTCTAAAACATTACAATTCACTGCAATGCTAATCCAGATAGATCTAGTCCTAATTTCCACATATCATAACTGCTTATGAATCAGCACCATGAAAAGCACTGGACATCAGCATCAGCCCAGATTTTCCATTTTAGTGCTCCCCTGTTTAAAACACACCCTGAGAAGCAAGAGGAAAAAGAGAAGAACCCAAACCTAAATATAAAACTGTTATAACAGAGTAACAGACTAAATAGAGCAGACCAAGTTGTTGCCCTGACATATTATACTTTATGAGAATACTAATGCATTCAAATGGCACTAAGAGCCTAAGGTACTATTTTTACTGAGCCAGACTCTGAAGCTCGTAATCTGGACGTGGTTTTTCTCTTCTTTTTATATCCCCACCCAGCACGGCCCGTTACTCAAACCCTCGGCTAAAAGCAGAACTTCAACCGCGATGAACACTCGCAACTTTTCGTGCTAACGTGCTATCCGAGTCCGAAACCCCCACAGCCCTGGAAAAAACTGCTAAAACCATGAAAGGTGGCCTTTACTCGGGCAGAGGACTGAAAACGCGTCTCAGAATCACAGTAACTCCGAGTGAAGAGACCAACACAGACGAAGAGAGAGAGAAAACTGCTCTCTCAGCTGAAAAAGAGAGGAGCTCGTTACCTTTAAACCGCTTCTTTGTAATGTTTGTAACGTCTGTCTCTGTGAGGACCTTCTTTTCTCCTCTCTTCTCTTTTCTTCGAGCCTCGCCAGCGGCTCTCTGCCCAGACGATTCCTCTCCTCTGACCGACCCCTCACAGCAGACCCGCTCACTCCATCCTACTTCTGTCCACAGTCAGTTTAATAGTCCAGAAAAACACCTTTTACTGAGATCCGTCTCCAACTTCACACGAGAACATAGCAGCAGCGCAGCAGAGCAGACTGAGGAGAAGAGAGAGAGAGAGGGAGAGAGAGAGCGAGAGAGAGAGAGAGAGAGAGAGGGAGGGAGGGAGAGAGACAGAGAGAGAGAGAGAGAGAGAGAGAGAGAGAGAGAGCGTCCTCTATAGGACGCATCTCACACCACCAGATCTGAATATTGCAAATGTACATAGTAAATGTGTTTTTGTGTACATGTATTTAAATAAATTCCAAAAAGCCCTTCTACTGACATCACCTGAAGCTCTTGTGGCTGAAAGCAATTAAATCCTCACAGCAATGTTCTGAAATCTAATGTAAAGCCCTCCCAGGAGATATGTAGAGTGGCCCCAAAAAGTATTTGGACCCGTGTTCCAGGCTTAAAAAAGTTCATAAACAAAAATGTCAAAGCAAGTGATACTATTTTTAACCCCTTAAAATCTCAGGCTTATTACATGCTAAGGCTTATTATTCAGTAACTACTCTACTATTCACTGCAAACTGGATGAGCTATTCTTAGGTTATAGAAGTGTAATGGGCTTGCTGGCGGGCGCTGGCCATTTAATGAGATAAACAAATCATCCCAAGACTGTTATTTTCTTTTTGGCAAAGCATTCTTTCAAAAGGCAGCTGTTGTACTTCACATCGTTATTGTTTCTTTGCAGATTTACTTCCAAACTGTCTTCATGCACTTTTGAGTTCATGGTCCTGTCAATGAACACGAGCTCACTGATACCACTGTGAGAAAAACAGTCCAAGACTGTGTAATTTCCTTATTGCACTGTACAGAACTCTTAGTCTGGAATTTAATCCAGTCTTTCCTCTCAGAAACAGTCCACTGTCTTTTTGATATTGTGCTAAAAGTGTTTTTCTCTGAAACAAATATCATTTTGCTAACCAATTTATTAAGAAACTAAAGAGCTTCATTAAAGTTAACCAATGCATAAATGGTTAAACTGTCCCCAAACATATATAATAATTATGTATAGGGTCTATAGTTTTATCACTCTGTTCCTATTTTACTTAAGTTGCCTTATATCTCTTATGTGTGCATACTTTTCCCTTATTATTTGCAAAGTAGTAATAGAATCAGAAACAAGCTATTTTTAATGGAGACACTGATAAAACCAATGTTGATATCATTACCATGGTAATAAACACATCATAATAATAGCAGCAGTATCACAGTAGTATCATTATTATAATTGAAGCAGTAACAGAGACAGCAACTATAGTTTTTTTTTTTAAATTAATACATTGGTAATAATAACATCAACACTATTACTATAGTAGTAATAAACATTATTGAGAATAAAGCATAACAACAAAGCACGCAGTTAGTGGTGACTTCTTTTGGTAATTACCTCAACTAAACTGCTGAAATTGATAAAAACACGACATTTTCCCGAACTGAAAAAACTAAAATGCAATCTTCATGTAGATTAAAAACATCTCAAAAATAGTAACTTTACTGCATTGCATTATAGAGTCTGTTGTAAAATCACTGAGTGGAACTTTTGGCAGCAGTTGAACATTTACTTGCAACCTTGCAACCTTTCTAAACGTGTTTCAGACAAAGGCAGTGTTTGTGTGTGTGACAGAGAGAGAGAGAGAGAGAGAGAGAGAGAGAGAATAAAGAGGTGATTGAGGATCTCGACCTCTGGAGAAGTCACAGCCTCCTACACCCTGCTCAGCCTCTGATCCATTCTGCTGCGCGAGGGTTTCACTAACTCAGTCTCACTCTCACATTCCTGAAGAACACTTCTTGTTTGTGTTCTATACCTAGAAACACACCATCAAACCCCTTTCCACCTCAAAAGGCTTGAGGAAGTGAGACTTTCCTGTCAGGTCTCTGGAGAGTCTCTGTCTTTTGCAGTACTTTTGTCTGCTCACTGTGCTTGACTGGGTCTCTCTCTCTCTCTCTCTCTCTCTCTCTCTCTAACTGAGACATCACAGAAGCAGATGTGTTGGAGCTGAATAAGTCCCAAAACCTGTTCAGTTATACTCACGTATTTGGCTGCTGTATGTGGATCATTCTATATTCTTTTTTTCTCAAGTTATTGATATCTTAGAACACAATTAGAAGAACACAGGCTCTCTGCACTCCAGTCATTGTATTGATTTGTTAAATTTATTGATGGATTGATTAGATGGTAACTTTACTGACTTCCTTGATAAGCACTTTGAAAACGGTTAAGCAAACACACTTGTACACGTGTCGGCTATTTGTTTATTTATGTTTATTCCAGTGTTCAGTTTTTTGAACAAGTAAACAGTGACTGCCCTGATACTGCAAACAGTTCCACATATTGTTTTCTCAGATGGCCTAAGATTTATGCACAGTCCTGTATGTAGCTTATGTGCACTCACAGAACCTCTGTTTTCATAACTGTAGAAGGACTGAACCTAATTAATCTGCTGCCCTCTAGTGGCATTACTGTGTCAGTACCAGGCCACGCCTTCTGTAAGGAAAAATGAATTTTTTTCTTGGAAAGACATTAAGGAATTGTGTCTGTGTGTTTACTTTTTTTTCCATGTTTACAGTAAACAATAACACAAATTTCATTCTTAAAAATGACTAAAATTCATATGTTATCTTGACAGACTATCAAATGTATGGTGGATTATATGGACCATTTTTGAAGGAACATTTTGATCCACATACAGCAGCCAAATACTTGAATAGAACTGAACAGGTTTTGGGACTTATTCAGCTCCAACACATCTGCTTCTGTGATGTCTCCTCAGTGAGAGAGTGAGAGAGAGAAAGAGAGAGAGAGAGAGAGAGAGAGAGAGAGAGAGAGAGAGAGAGATCATTGTCTCAAACAAAAAGAGAAGTGGAGAAAGAGAAAGGAAAAACTGTGAAGAGAAAGATGAAAAATGACAGCCTTTTGTCTTCATCATGAGCTGTTTAAACAGACAGAAAAAACTTTGTAGAACCCATGAAACAGAAACACCATCACCACCACTGCATGATTACATAAGCCAGCAGTGTCCAGTCTTATTCACAAAGGGCCAGAGTGGCTGCATGTTTTTATTTCAACAAAGGAGGAGATCACATGATCAGTTTGAGTGCAGTAAGATGATTAAACCAGTAGAATGAGGTGTGCTCCACCTGAAAACCTGCGCCTGTGGATAAGACCGGACTCCTGACTTCAGCCATGAGTGACTGGGGGGGTTGTCAAAGAGCTCCTTTGTTCAGTAGTTAGGCTACTGCCCAGGCAATCAGCCATTTTCCAGGGTGTCTCTTTGTCAAAATCCATGAAAGTTTCCACAATGCATCAAAAAAAAATCTGAGCGCTGACTGTTCTCCATGTTCCCTTACTGGAAATAGCATCAAACTTCTGGACTTTCGGGAAGTTTTAAAGTGGAAGGCAAATGTATGCTCTCTCTTACCTTTCTACCTCTAAGTAGTAGAAAGGTGTATTATTCACACTTGAACGTAAGAAACTGTAAAGAAAAAACAAACTGCATTTATCTCTGATTTAACTTTACTTACATGCTTTGATATCAGTGTTTGTCACTAACTACATACTAAATTATTTATAACACACTATATTTCAAAAATATTGTACTTCAGTAACTCATTTCATGAGCAAAATATTTGTAAGCTGTAAAGTAAGCTGACCTGCTAGCAGGCTAATAGCTAACAGCTAACAGTCTAATTAGGCTTATTCAGAAATATTCAGTCACAGGCTTTAAATTTAAATCTTTACCGAAAGGGTCAGATCAGTGGAGTGCACCGACCTTGGCAAGGACATTTTTCAGTGGACACTTCAGGGAGAAGTTTATATCAGGAGTTTTCAGTAGATGAAAACAACGTTATAGTAAAAGTTATTCTAATTTTGTGGTTTTCTGCATGCAGGTCTGTTTTTAGTTGTACAAACATAATATGTATATTCAAGTCCATTTGTCTTGTTGCAAGAACTGAGAACAGACCCGATCCCAGTAAATGCACTATTAAATAAAAACAGTCACAATGTAATATTATTCAAACTCTTCATTATAATGCCTTATTAGGCCTCATCAAGCCAGGAGCTGGTAATTAACTTGCTGCTAATTATTATGTTATTAAGCAATAACTAGTATACACTCAACATTTGTAAAGCTCTAATTAAACCTTATCAAGTCAGAAGCTGCTAATTAACAGGCTGCTCATAACTACTTCATTAAGCAATACCTTTTTAAGCAATACCTAGCGTGAACTGGTCTAATGAGAAGCCAATTTATTAGTCATTGGTTTGAAAAGTTAGTTACCAGCTATTAGCTTGATAAGGTTTATTAAGGGCTTAATGATTAACAGCTAAGATGTTTTATTATAATATATGATGCACAAATAACAGTGATGTTTAATACACCCTAATTAATTAATAAAGTAGGAAACGTCTGCCAATTAATTAGCAGCTATTGCAAAATAAGGCTTATTATAAGCATTACAAGAGTATCAAGATGCCCTCCTGTACTAAATGTTACTGTCTTTTCTCTGACTTTTAAATCCAGGCTCAAATCATTCCTGTTCGAGCAGACTTTCAGCTCAGTTTAAACACTGTTGGCATTTCTAGCCACTTTTCTCACTTTTTTAAAATCCTTATCTAACTTTGTTTTTAATTTGATTATTTAACTATCCTAAGTTCATTTCTAATTTGATTTTTAATTTAATGATTTTCTCTTTTAAATTTATTGTTTTGTTTTAATTGTTTTTAAGTTGTTTTTAATTGTTTTTGCGTTTACTTTTTTAAACAACTCTGACTCTGAATCTTTTCATTTGTAAAGCACTTTGAATTACAGAAGCGTTTGAAATGTACTATATAAATAAACTTGCCTTGCCTGCCTTGCCTTGATGTAGTATGATTTTCAGTATTTGACACCATTCAAATTCTAAAGATTCTTCAGGGAACTCCACTAATTTTTCAAGATGTCTGC